TCTAGAACAGTAATTGTCCGAACCCGAATGAACCTAAAATTGCTTGCCAGCAAACGATTCTGCTCATACGCAGGAACTCTCAAACTGTTGTTCATGACATCAATTATTGGTGTTCGGAAACATAAGTGAGAGTTGGTTTACGGATGGCTCAATTCTTGGAGGCGGGTCAAACAGGTGAAATAATCTCAGTACCTCTTGGCAAGTACGCCTCAGTGTTCCAAGCCGAAGTGTTTGCAATACTGGCGTGTGTCCAAGAAAATTTCGGCAGAAGTGGAAGTGGACCAATTACCATATGCTCGGACAGCAACGCTGCAGTATGGCATTGAAATCCAGTAGAATCACAACCAAGTTGGTGTCCGAGTGTAGAAGTGCTTCGGAAACAAACAGACTCACCTCGAGACTAGCTAAGATACTGAGAATACTCTTTCTTACGCACCAAGCGGTACAAAAAAATAACTATAGATGCAGTTCCTTGAAACATGGCAGGACACCAGTAATGAGACAATCAAAGCTCCATACAGAGGAGCATTCAAGAAGGCGCACTAGAGAGGTCCTGTTACTTGACAGGAGATGATAGTTGGTTCCTAACTGGACACAACCACCTCAACAGGCACCTGGAGCTCATAGGGATCAAAGATCAAGATGATCAAATCTGCAGATGGTGCTGGAGGATGATGAAACATCATCGCACATACTTGCTCAATGCCGCGCGCTGGTGCATCAGAGGAAAGCTGCCTTTGGGAGCATGGTATTGCACTCAAAGGATGTGAAAGGGATTTCAGGAAGCTGCTGAGTCAAAGAATTTGGCATGCCCAGCTGATTCACAGGCCATGTGGACGCACAATGGACCCGACTGACGAGGCCTGAGGGCAAGGGTCTAAGTACCCGCCCACCCTTACAGAGAAGAAAAAGAAGTAGGAGTGAGAAATATATATGACAGGTCCTGAATGCGTACGTTCCATTGGACCAAGATCGATCGCGTAAATGAATGAGCATTGATCTTATGCGGCATTTATTAACGGTCTATATTTAGTAATTAATGTCGGTGTACCATATTCCAAATTGGGTATATTCTATTTGCACCCATCTCAGTTTCTTCACAAATATGTTCCAATCAGACATGGATGAATTTCCGAGGGGTATTCCCGAGGGGCGAATCGCTAATGAAGTCTGGTGTACACGTTGATGAAGTCTCGATGAAGTCACTGAAATCATGATGAAGTCAGTGAAGTCACGATGAAGTCACTGAAGTCTCGATGAAGTCAGTGAATTCTTGATGAAATCAGTGAATTCATGATGAAGTCAGTGAAGTCATGATGAAGTCAGTGATGTCTCGTTACTGAAAATCGTAATATAAATACGTACCAGGTTTGTCTGGATTTCAAGAAGAATAATATCATATATCATATTAGGAAAATATGCGTTATCAATACTATACATTCGATCATTAGTTCAAACAACGAACGCCAAAATAAGACGAATAGGGTTAACAAATCATGTAATCGCAATTTTTGTACAGTGGTAGAGGGAAGTGTCATGAACAATTTACTTGAAGTTCTGACCCATAGGGGAGGAGCAGGGCGGTAGGGGAGCGTTTGAACGTCATTTTTTCAAGTTGTAATTCGAAAATCGCAACCTCTAGTGAAAAATTGGAATTATACAAAATTGAACAACATAAAATGTCCTATAAAAGAGTATTCATTCGTGTTTTGTCTAGAATGAATAGTTTTTAGTTCGGTTTTTAGGATACAATTGATGAAAATATCGAGAAGTAACAAAAATAGAGTTTATGGGTATGAAATCAATGTTCAATGTCTCACTATTTCCTGGCGTTTCATGAAATGAATACCAATGGGCTAAGTCCTAAGTGAGTTTTTCACTTGAATAAGAGGTTATCTATAAACAATGACTGAAAAGTGTTCAATTTGTGAGTGTGATATTGTCAGTAGTTGATATAACGGTGATAAAAAAGGGATACGTGGATTAGTGAATAATATAGTGACTTTTTTGATCTACTGGAGCGCACGGACGGGAATCTCTCTACTGTTCGAAGTATATATCGTTCGACCCAGGGAGGATAGGAAGATTTGGTAAATATTGGAAATGTCTTTTTTGGGGATTAGGAGTTCTTACGAAAATTTCCTTTGATGAAGAATTCCAAAGCTTTGCCGTTCTATGAACAAACGAGTTTTCGTATAAAGAGTTTGTTCGACCTATTTCAAGGTTGAAGACGAAATAATGTGCTGACGGGACTTGTTGAGTTCGTTTGACTGGTATTGCTAGTGATTGAATGATGAAACAGATTTCTGAGAAACATTTCCCTTGCAAGTATGAAAGTTGGAGGTTTCGAGAACAAAAAACAGTAACGGGATGGATCGCTCATCCCAGTGACAACGAATGATCCAGTAGCACCTGAAGCGATACTGAACAGCATCTTTTGCCGATGTTCAACTGAATGTGGGGGACAATATGAAAAGCTGAAATTTCATGCTCCACTGTGTGCAGCATGTGCCATGATACGTATATATACGAATCTCGATACGAATGTTGCACCGTTGCTGGCTATGGAAAATGTGGACGAAGATGATGATTATAGTTGTCAATTATTAAAACGTATACATTCAATATGTTCGTTTTCAAGGAATAATGTATACGTTTCTGTTATCAGCCACGTTGAACACGAATTCCATGATGTGAGACATTGAACATGAAGTTAAAACCAATAAACTCTATTTTTGGTACTTCTCGATTTTTTCTCTACCTCAGGAACTATTCATTGTAGACGAAAAATTAATGATACGTTTTCATAGGCAATTCCATGTTGTTCAATTTTGTATACCTCCATTTTTTCGCTAGAGTTCGCGATTGTCGAATTATTCAAGAATAATTTGAGAAAATTACCTTCAAACGTTCCACTACTGCCCCGCTCATCCCCTAGGGGTCAGGACTTTTAGTATGTTGTTCATGGCACTTTTCTTTATCACTCTACAGAAATTCACGACTACACGATTTTTGCCCCTATTTTTGTTCGTTTAATGAACTAGATAATGACGTCACTTCTCAACGTAATATCCCGATGAAAATCTTGAGAAATATCAAGTGGTCTGTGGAATACCAAGAAATACATGTTCCAAGAAGTACGAATAAAGGCACTGAAGTTTCGATGAAGTCAGTGAAGTCTTGATGAAGTCAGTGAAGTCACGATGAATTCACTGAAGTCTCGATGAAGTCAGTGAAGTCATGATGAAGTCAGTGAAGTCATGATGAAGTCAGTGAAGTCTCGATGAAGTCAGTGAAGTCTTAGGAGAATATGAAGTCAGGTGTACAAATTTTCGTCTGCGGTTCGCCCCTCGGGTATTCCTCTCTTTCAAAAACGAACACGGATGGACAGATTCGACGTAGGACTGGACCGATAGCATCGGATATTAACTAAAGTAATGAATATGAGATTGTAGGCCAATATTGGGCCAATATTGGACCTTGCATTGGACGGATTACATCGGGATTGGACACCAAGTGTACACAAATTGGACATAGTGGTTGACCCTCGGGTTGATCCCTCGTGAATATCCGCCTCAGATGACATCACAGGAATCAGCCGTGGTGATTCCTGCATATTATATATGATAAAATAATTGACCAGTGTAGTTATTTTCAATACGGTTTGGTCTATGTTGCAACGCCTGTTTTTGGTATTTGACAGTCGTCGGCGGAAATTGTTTCCATTGGTACCGTTGCTTAGACCATTTCGATCGTTTTGTGTCATCACATTATTTTAGTTTATTTCATCTTATTGCACAATGGTGAAATATTGTGAAGTGTGTAATAATCAATTCGAACTTTGTGATCAATACCAGTGTCGTATCGTTCGATAATCGAGATTTGAATATCATATCCCCAGATAGAGACAATAACAATTATTCGATTCAAGATTATTCTAGAATCCCTGTGATAGGCAGTATCTCTTTTTTATTTCTGAAAATATTCAAGATGCAGATTTCGAACACATAGGAATAAAAAATATGTTTACCTTAGAAGTGTATCGAGATACACATTACATAAGTCGTATCGTATATAAGTTGGACCCGATTTATCGCCGTATGTGTTATGGGGTATCGTGCATTTCAATTTTTCTTTAATGTACAGAATTTTTAGAAGAAAACTGTGCGACATCAGTGAACTAGGTATGGTATTACGTCAAAAAATAATGAAATACAATTTTTCACTGGAACATGCCCATTGCATTGCAACTCTGAATATGTATCAAGATAGGTTCCTAACTCTCGAAATCATCTTGTCATTCTACTCAACTATTTTCATATTCCATATTATCAATATCCTGAAGATAGCACCATATTAGCGTCTAGAACCTACCATGATTCTCGCAGACGTAAAGTGTGTTTTACTACCAAGGTAGATCTCGCCATTTTATGAACTACTAGTCAATAAAGACATCCACCTCTATTATAATAAACCCTCGAATAAACCCGAATCCACTGTTATGATGCAAGATTCGCAGGAATTACACTCGAATCTAGTTGGTATTCATCAATAAGGACTTGTCATATGCTGTCATGATCATGGCTACTAGTTTTATTTAGAATTGAAATGAAGTGCTTTCATAGTGACATGGATCCATATTTACAGAAATATGAAGATGGAAATTAATCAATTGTGGTGGAAAACATTCAATGAACATCTTGGTAGTGAAGAATATTATTATCACGAGACCTTATACCTCTTGGTTGAAGCCTCTGGATATAATCTTGATCCCTGATATTCTTTGATGTATATATAACTATTGAATATTTCTTTTCCATGACTTCCTTTTCCATGATATAAACTTAGTTTTCAAAACAAGAATATAAACATAACATAATAAATAATGTTTGGATTTCCACTTCATTCACTCCACAGAAGTTAATGGTGGTAGTAAGCTGGAGCAAAATATTGGTCAGTGCGAAGGGTGTCTTCGGGATCAGCTTTGGTGCAGTAGCCCTTCACTGAGTCACCATCTTGTTCGTGTTGGGATCTGTTGTCACCAGTAGAGGCGTCTTGAAATCCGTAGTTGAATTCGTATTTTGGGTGGGCCTCTTTTTGGTAAAAAGAGCGTAAGCATCCCCACTGACAAGAGAATTCGATGAAATTGAAGAAATAAGAGAATCATTGTACTCGTGCCAAATTTTCGTATAAAGATGTCTGCAGTGGGCTGTGTAGTGTCCGCTGTAGGTGGTACCGCTGTGATTTGAGATAGCGTACACATTGTAAGGACATGGAACGATGTCTTTAGCTGCATAGAGGCTCATGTCCAAGCCGATCAAGGGGAAGTCGACAATTGTGTTTAGTTTCTCACTGAACTCTTCAGTTAGCGAGAAACGTTTCAGATGTATAACCAACATTTTAGGGAACTTGTGGATGAATAATGACTTCAAACATCTTTTTTCATTACACATCGAGCAAGTTAGTTTCTTCTTCTTCTCTGCACAGGTGGGCGGGTGCGTAGACCCCTGCACTCAGGCCTCTTCAGTCGGGCCCATTGTGCGCCCACTTGTCCTGTGAATCAGATGGGCATGCCGATTTCTTTGACGAAATTCAGCAGCTTCCTCAGCTGTGTCACTCTCACATCCTTTGGGTGCATTACAATGCTCCCAAAGGCAGCTTTCCTCTGATGCACCAGCGCGGGGCATTCAGTGAGTATGTGTGATGATGTTTCATCATCCTCCAAGCACCATCTGCAGATGGGATCATCTTTGATCCCTATGAGTTCTAGGTGCCTGTTGAGGTGGTTGTGCCCAGTTAAGAGCCCAACTACCATCTTGAGATCCCTTCTATTAAGTGACAGGATCTCCTTTTGAAGGTTCCTTTATATGGAGCTTTGATTGTCTCATTCCTGGTGTGTCCCACCATGTTTCAAGGAACTGCCTCTGTAGCATTTCCTTCATGAAGGACATAGCCGTACTATTGGGTATTCCCAATATCGGTTCTGGTCCAATGGGTGTCGTTCCTGAACCGATCTTGGCTAGTTTGTCTGCCTCCTCGTTCCCCGGGATACCAGAGTGTCCTGGAACCCACATGAGGCAAGTTAGTTTCTCCTCGCCGTCTTAAATCTCAACACTGGTAAATGAGTCCAAGCAATGAGACAACTTGAGTTAGCCCGCTTACTGTGGTATCGGTAAAGACAACTCCCAAAATGGGTCGAACGTCTCCGAACAATTGCCGCAAAAGGTGCATCTCAAAGTTGACTTGAACTACCCGACAAAATTATCGATGAACTTGGAATTAATCATTCTCAAGAATCTTGACCACGAATCCCTTGCAAACAAACAGGTGAAATAATCTCAGTACCTCTTGGCAAACACGCCTCAGTGTTCCAGGCCGAAGTGTTTGCAATACTGGCGTGTGTCGAAGAAAATTTCGGCAGAAGTGGAAGTGAACCAATAACCATGTGCTCGGACAGCAAAGCTGCTATTATGGCATCGAGATCCAGTAGGATCACAACTAATTTGGTGTCCGAGTGTAGAAGTGCCTTGGAAAATATGGTAAAAACTAGGAAAGTCAGCCTCACAAGGAGACAAACAGACTAGCCGACAAAATTATCGATGAACTTCTCAAGATTCTCAAGAATCTTGACCACGAATCCCTTGCTTCGACATTAAAACTCGAGGATTTGTCGATTTCCATGAGTACTGTCTTTGGGTACGGCTTCGGTTTATCTACGACCATGTTGACGTCTTCGTGTAGCCCTTCTAGCAGGAAACAAAGAAATTCTTGTGCATTTTGTATAATCAATCAACTCTCACATGGGAGAATCAGATGTTGTAACTCTTATATTTAGAAAAGAGTGAACACTTTGTGTGTTGATTTCAATTCCAAACAAACCGTATTACCAGGTCTATTGATTGATCTGATTGATCAGCCAGTATGTTTAATGATTGGAGTCTGAAACTGCTCAAAATATATTCACCAGGTTATAAAGGCAAGTTGCTGATGCTGATTCGTTCTTCCTAGAAGTAGCGAGAGAAACTCCGAATTTGTGATGATAATTGTGATAAAAATGTTTTTGGACACTCAACTAACTCCACCTTAAAAATAATTCAATGTTTTAGAAGCAATGTGAGCTCTGTGCACTAGTATTTGTCAATTATTCGAACGGATATAACACCAATCGCCTTGTCGCCAACTTACCTCAGAGTAATCGTTCCTCTTCTCACTCCCTAACCGCTAAACGAAAAAGCCGGTTCTATCTCCACATAATCACCGAACGCAGCGTCAATGTCCAATAAGACATGCACGAGAAGAAAGATAAGAATAAGAAGAAGAAGAGCAGGCAAACGACCGTAGCAACACCTAACTATTACCAGACGCGGGACGCGGTAATGTAAATATAAACAGTAGCAGGCGCCGCAACCATGTAGAAAACGTATCAAACTGTCGCTGTAGTGCTCAGCCCGGCCGACTATGCGTACGCGTTCGCTTTACTACTTACTACGCTACTACCGGAATGTGGAGGGGGTTACTACGAAAGCGGCCCGGCACGAGCAGACAGCGTCGCATCGGTGCACGGCACGCTTGATTCCGTTGGGCGGCTGGGGTAAGAGAGTTCAGGGCGCGTAGGAGATGCCAGGAGATGAGGCGGCCGAGATAGCGCGCTTTTAGTCTCCGTGACTCCAGTGCAACGTTGCCGATGCTACATGGATTCTCGTAGATGTTCTGAAAAACGCAAAAATGTTGAATTCAGCTGTCAATAATGGATTTGTGTGAAACTAGCTGCCGCAGCAAACGTTGTTTTGCTATATACATTATCTTTTGAAAATATTTTTTCAGTTAAATATTCAACAACACACTTTCATTATTTCATTTTCTACTTATTTTAGGTTTGGTCATCTATAACAATGCGTGTTTCATTAGGTTTTTGAAATAATTTTCAGCTCGTTCGACATATTCAATTCGCCATTTTGAATCACCTCGGAATCGGATCATAATTGGAAAACTCGTTCACCATACTGGATCCGCCATCTTGAATTTCTCAATTCTGACGAAAGAATCATAATTTTTAACCCCAAAAATTCCCAGGCACCAATTTTGAATAGAATCGGATCATAGTTACAAAGCTTGTTCGCCATATTGGATCCGCTATCTGAAATTTCCTAATTTTGATGACGGAATCATATTCTCCGACCCCGAAAAGCCTCAGATAGTAATATCAAATAGAATCGAATCATAATCAATAAACTCGTTCGCCATATTGGATCTGTCATCTTGAATTTCCAAAATTTGAGGAAAGAATCATAATCTCCGAGTCCGAAAATTCATAGATACCAATTTTGAACAGAATCGGATCCTAATTACGAAAGTCGTACGCTATATTGAATCCGCCATCTCAAGTCTTCAAAATTTGAGGAAAGAATCATAATCTCCGACCCCAAAAACCTCCAGATACCAACTTTGAATAGGATTGGATTATAATTACAAATCTCTCCCGCCATGTTGTATCCGCCATCATGAATTTCCTAATTTTTTCTTGCATCCTTCTCCTGACAATAAACAAACACAACAATGATGGCGTGACCAAGGGAAATATGATCTCATTCTCATATATTAGAGATGAGAGTTGCAAACATGAAACAAATAATAAAGATAAAGTTACCGACTGAAAAGCCAAAAGAACCCAACGATTATCAGGTTCAGCATTGCCACAAAATTGGGAAAAATTAGTTTGATTCACCCGAAAGAGTGATTCAAATGGCTATTTGTGAAAGACAAAAGCTGAGGGAAGGGCGAAGAGTCAAGCATACCAACAAACGTTGACAGAATAGCAAGACAAATGACAGTGACAAGTGATACAAACCAAATGATATGGACAAAATAAGCGTAAATCTCAGAACATTATGAGTTGTGATAATATTACAAATAATTTCTGAAAAGAACCATAATCAATTGTGCCAAAGCCTAAAGGAGAAGTACGTGACTGATTTTTTTGGGCAAATGACTCCACGACTCTCTAATTTTTATTTTATGAAAAAATGACAGATTCTGTCATATCATCGGTTCGCTTATACTGACCCACCATTTATATTCCTAATTTCATTCCACCGATCTGGGAATTCGACAGTAAGGAATAATTTAGAAGCACAGTTTATAAAATGAATTGATGATCTACATTTTCATACCTTCAATTTTTGTTATTAATATTGTGTGAAGGAACATGTCCATTATTTCTAAAGAAGTTAATCTTTTACGGAACAGGCGAGCTTTGCGGTGCTATGATAATCCAATTCAATTTCAACATGAACAGCGGCGGTATAAATTGGAAGGAATATAAAATGAAATCATGATGGTTTTCTTTGTCGGTGGAAACAACATTATTTTCCGGAAATGAAAGTTGATTGGAATGTATTTCTCAATGGAGAAATGATTGACTCGACTCGCTTATTTTGTGATACTTGCATCAAGTTGGACAAGAAACAGAGCTTAAGATTTTCCTACCATACTCTTCTTCCCTAAAAGGTTGTGATCATTATCTGAAGAGTTGCTTCTGTGGGAGTGAGGAAGTTGGGATTGATTGATTTCTACTTGTGGTTCTGGTAGCTTCAAGGTAAGACTTCGGCTTATCAAATTAAGCTAATTGATCCTGATTATGTCTACAATTTTATGTAGGTAATTGTTTTGTGCCCATTGGCCAATTTTATCCTATTCGATTTAGGAGAGTAGTCTATCAAAAATGTATCAATGAATATTAATTTGCGGTTCTCACACAACATCAACAAAAGGAAGTCCTGAAATCAGAACGACACTGGACCAAATTTCACACGGCAGCCAGAAAACAAACAACAATAAAAATGACGGATGACATTTCTCAATAAGATTATTGCTCGTCTATATACTACGAAACTCGCGGTGCTGCCACGTTTATCATGAATAAATTCCTATTGTTCATGTTGCTGTGTGCCTCACAATAACTAATGAGTTTATAAATATTAGTCTGAGTTTCTGAAAATTATGTTGTTATTGGTATATTATTATGTTGAAAACCTTGTTCAAGTTTTTTATGCCGAAATGAATATGTGGTTTCATCCGAATAATTCTCTTGAATTGTCAACTACGCAGCGGTTCCATATTAGTATATTATTCAACGAGCGCATAATGATGGCTACTACCCACGAAGATGAAAATTGCAGTACGAGCCGAAGGCGAGTGCTGTAATCATCTGAGTGGGTGATAGTCATTATGTGCGAGTAGAATACTATACTTTATCTACAACTATTCAAATATCAAAGCAACTCTGAGAGTTCAGAAATATATCTTTGGAAATAATGAAGGTTATTATATTGCAATCTAAATCTGATTTGAAATACCTACTCATTAATTTCATCGTAAACTTATTGACAGAAAATTCAAT